GAGTGTGTGTCATGCAGTGCCCCCAATAAGTGTTTGACCTCTGGAAAGTTATGCAAGCTGCCTCCCACTCAGCACACACACAAGCAGGCGCGTGATTCACTCTGCATGCATCACATACGTGCTGCTCATCCTGCGACTAAGAGATGAAATTACGGAGTGTGTGTGTTTGTGTGTGTGTGTGTGGCCACAGGTCTTGTCCTCTGTGAAGAAAGGACTGTTCATATAAATAGCTGCAGGCGCAGAAAGACACAGAGAGACGGACTCTGCATTATATGTCCTCTTTAGAGAGCTGACACAGCTGAAAATGAAACTGGAGCATGATCGCTTTCACCTGATGTTCTTCAGTTGCATATTACATTTCATTTTTTCATTTAAACAGGACAACCTTCTGAGAGGATACATCTCTAAGAAACAAAAGGAAAAATGTATTTCAGAAGATTTTGAGTCACTTTTAAACCATTTTGATTCAGTTTTTGACAATTCATTCAGCTGCTGTTTGGAAACACTGACATGAATTTATAATTTTGAGAAGAGAGTGTGACTTAGACTGAGAAACAGGGGTTGAGGGGGTGTTTCACACAAGCTCTGGTCCTCTACCAGAGGCCTGGGAGTTTGAGGGTTCTGCGCAGTATCTCAGCTGTTCCTAGGACTGCTCTCTTCTGGACAGAGACCTCAGATGTTGTACCAGGAATCTGCTGGAGCCACTTTCCCAGTTTGGGGGTCACAGCCCTGAGTGCTCCGATTACCACTGGCCACTGTTGCCTTTACCCCCCACATCTTTTCTAGCTCCTCTTTCAGCCCTTGGTATTTTTCGAGCTTCTCATGTTCCTTCTTCCTGATGATGCTGTCGCTAGGGATTGCTGCATCTATCACCATTGCCTTCTTCTGTTGTTTGTTGATCAACATGAAGTCCGGTTGGTTAGCCATCACCAGTTCATCAGTATGGATCTGGAAGTCCCACAGGATCTTAGCTCGGTCTTTCTCAACCACCTTAGGAGGTGTCTTCCATTCTGATCTTGGGACTTCTAGCCCATATTCAGTGCAGATGTTCCCATACACTATGCCAGCCACTTGGTGCTTCTTCTACTGTTCTTGTGCTACCATGATTAGTGCTTCTGTGCTGTCTTTCAGTCCAGCCTTTTCCAGCCAATGGTAGAATTTCTTGATATTGGCCACTTCTTCAATCTGTCAGATGTACATGCCATGCAGGGGCTTGTCCTTCCACGATGGTTCGTCCTCCTCTTCTGCTGCCTGAGGTAGTCACTTAGCAGCTCATCTTTGGGAGGCATCTTCCTGATGTATTCCTGGATCTTGGTTGGTTCGTCCTGGACAGTGGCTCTGACGCTCACCAGTCCTTGGCCCCCCTCGTTCCTCTTAGTATACAGTCTCAGGGTGCTGGACTTGGGATGAAACCCTCCATGCATTGTGAGAAGCTTCCTTGTCTTTATCAGTGGCCTCTATCTCCTCCTTTGGCCGGCTTATTGTATGTTATTACTCTACTTTGCTCCAGGCACTCTACTGCAAGTGTTTACATTATGTAGCCTACACTGCTATGTGTAGCTACATGCTAATGTCAGGGAAACTCTTCATAATCTTTGTTGCCAATGTTGAACATGTCTGATTGTAAAGATTTTGGTTTAGAGACTTTTATTGGTGAGTTTTCACCCTAGAAAGTGCCGTTATACTCAGTGAAAGCCATTCCCTGACTGCATCTACACTGCTACATGTAGCTACATGCTAATGTCAGGGAAACATGTAGTCTTGGTTGCCAGATCATGTTCCTGCTGAAGCATGTCTTGTTGTATTTAGAAGCTCTTATGGGTTATTTCAGGAGAGAGTGTTGCTATACAGAGTTGTTTCCCAGCTCAACTATACTGCACTATATACGCTATATGTAGCTACATGCTAACATCTGGGAGACATGTAGTCTTTTCGCAGTAGAAAATGTCACTATTCCTTGTTACAGTTAAATCTCTGGCTGCAATGTTGGCCAAACAATGCTGAGATACAGAAGACCCTAAATCCAAGCAGAGCAGATTGGCCTTTTTGGGGAGCGGGGCTTAAAGAGATCGATGGTGAATACAGGTGTTCCAGCACAGACAGTATGAGGAAGTGTTTTTTGAACATTAAAGCATGTGAATATGTCCAAGTAGAAACCGTAAATACAAGTACAAAGCTGAAAATGAGCATAGAGTCTCTTTTCAGTATATTTTTTGTCCTCTGTGTACCCTTCCTGCTGTTGGCTGTAGTGGTGCCAGGATATCATTTTAGCCTTCTGAGCAGCCAGCTCGCCAATCAAGCTGTTTAATTTACCCCAGTTTAAGCAAAGGTTAACCCGTTGATTTAATTCCCTGCCAAAATGCTCCCAGTTGTATTTCTGTTAGTTACATCAGCTGCCGTGTCCTCGTCCCAGGCGGCACGCTGGCCCATGTGCTGAGATAATTGAGGCTGATTTTTTTCCCCATGACCCAAACTGTTCCCCCCTACAGAGCAGTGAGCCAAGACACTGACTCACTACCCGTTCAACATGGTATCACACTATCACTGGTTGTGACCTTTGACCTCCCTGTGGAAGAGGTAAGGATTTTCCCCCCAGGTATCAACAGAGCATCACCGAAAAAATGGCTAGTCATTCCTAGCATCACAAATGGTTTATTAGATAACAGTTTTCCTTACAGCTAATGAACAAGTGTAACACTCACTGTGGTTCCTTAAATATAACTAACAGTTTGCTTCTTTTAACTCTAAAGGGACAGTTTGCCCTCTATCTTTCCTCTTACCTCTAGTGTCATGCACAATTCCTTCTGCGCTTTGATATAGTTGGTGGGTGTAGTTCGGTAGAAAGGAAATTGTGCTGACTTGACACTGCTGTTGAGTTTTTCAGATGATTTTTTTTAGCACTTTGAGCACCACAAGCTGAGTGCCATCTAGTTCCATTATATTCAAGTGAAGGCAGACATCTCTATGGCCAACAGTGTTGGGCTTGTTACTCTAAAAATTAAGCATAGTGTTAGTTCAGGCAGAACACGATGCAAAGCGAAGCTCACATCCCAGCTACATCAGCTGATCTCAAACAGCCCAATCAACTGATGGAGCAGCTGATTGATGGAAGGGAGTCAGCTGATAGATCACATGATTCCTTTCTATGCAACCAATTTCTGAGTTTCATTCAGAGCGCCCTATTTAAACTGGTCTGCCCTGCTGACTGTTGCTGCTTCTCTGCAAGCTGCTTTGCAACCCACCTTCACCCCAGCTCCTCCTTTTGATGCTGTGTCTGACTTATCAGCGTCATTTCTGTTTGTCATTGATGCTGCTCTGTTCTGTTCCTTGGGGGTCTTTGCTGCTGCTCTCCCTGCCTTGGGCTTTCCATGTATGCACATGGAAGGGCAGGGTGGTTTGCGCTCTCTGCCTTGGGCTTTCTTTGTTTGTGCATGGAAGGGCAGAGAGGTGTGCTCTCTCTGCTTTATGCTTTCCACATAGGTGCATGGAAGGCAGAGAGGCCCCAGAACAGAGCCATACTGCCAAATATAATACTACAAATGGAAATAAAAAATTTTTGGACTGAAGTGGTCCTGACTAAAATGTATTATATTAGTCGTTAATCTTTTCAGAAGTAATGATATTTCTTTACTTTTTACTCCCTGCCAACAGTAATTTGTTACACTACTCATTATATTACTTTTTAGTTACACCCCATAAAACTGGTAATTGTGTATCTCCCCAAAATTCAGATTTGTGCCTCTGTGTGAATGTCTGGGTAATCATTGTTAAGTGCAGCTAAGGCTTGATCACTTCTATTTACCTGGGGGTCTTCGGTTGCATGTGCCAGGCATTTCCTCAAAGACCTGCCTGAAAGATGGAGAGTCACTCATGGAGCAACATTTTATCCACCACATATCCAGCCACAAGCTTCATCACTTCTTTGTAAATCCAGTTTTGGTTGTTTAGCCAGTGCAGGGCTACAGCCGACGTCCGCAGCTGAGATGGCGCGTGACGTGCCTGCACAGTGCGACAATTACAAAAATGAGTCCGCTGGTGGGATTGTTGTATTTCGAGTTAGTAGTGATGTGATAACAAACTGAGACATACTGAGACATGTTACCGCCCAACACTGATGGCCGATATCTTCAACATTCAGCAACTCTCACCAAAAATCTAGATTGATAAAAAGCACTACAAGTATGAGGGAAAGAGTGTACTTTTGATTTGGGTGTTGACTGTCCCTTTAAGTCCTTGGTTGACAGTTGAAAAACTTTTACAGACTGCGTCCCATATATTGCACATTCCTTATAAACATAATTAAGTGACTCCCATTTTCCCAGCGGGGCTGCGGTATTCTGCCCGTCTTTATCTTTATCATCAGCCTTAATCAACACTGTTATTCATTATCTCCCTTTTGACGTGTCCTTTTCTATTCTCTTCTCAGCAGGTTGCATCAAACCTTGACAAGCCACAACCACTTCACACAAACACACACATACGACAAAGCTTTATTCTCGTGTTTATCATACCTTACCACACTTGCACTGTGTTAATCCACTGTTTACTGGCCCATGTAAACAACATCTGTGTTGAACAATAACTTCACATCCTCGCTGTCAGCAATTAAAACTAATGATCTACTCTTAACCTCTTTTCTGCGACTCTAGAATTCTCCATGTAAACACCTTTTTATCTAATGATCTTAATCATTATAATCAGAGTAATACTTGTAAATCAGACTATTGCTTTAACCTGATTCCTTATGGGAACCGGGGAATTTAGTGCACGCAAAGTGAGCTGTGCTTTGATGTACTCCAATTAATTAAAGTTTAGTCAACCTGCATCTTAAGCCTTCACACTCCACTGACCCTGATGACATTCACTCAGCAAGGCCCTCAGAACAGATTGAATATATCTACATCACTGCTTATCAAACACAACGATGTATTATCAGTCATATAACATTGCCCTTAACCCTCAAACCTTCTCGCCTTTTGTCCCGTCTTTTCTCTCTCCAGACTACGCCTGGCCTCTCCCCAGCGCCCTGTGTCCGATCTGGATCTACCTGGACGTGCTGTTCTCCACCGCCTCCATCATGCACCTGTGTGCCATCTCTCTGGACCGATACGTTGCCATCCGCAACCCCATAGAGCACAGCCGCTTCAACTCCAGAACCAAAGCCATGATGAAGATCGCCGCCGTCTGGACCATATCTATAGGTCAGAGTCAAGATATTTTACAGTTTATTGATAAAAGGTTTTTCTCAACGATTGCATGCCTTGTGGCATTAAAAGGGAAATCTTACCTATAAAAATGTGTTTTAAGCAATGATTTAAAGACGGGTAATGTGCTAGCTTGCCTAATCCTATCAGGTGGAGAATTCCAGAGCTTCGGGGCCTTGATGGCAAAAGCCTTGATGGTCACTTTTAGTTACCAACCTTGATCTAGGGACCACTAGCGAGGGTAGGCTTGATGATCTCAGGTCACGACTTGGAGGATAGGTAAGAAACTCAGCTATATTTAAAATCTTAAAATCAGTCATAATTACCGAGAGTTGGTTTGTCTCACGGCAGCATTTACAAGCGGACCAGATCAAATGCCTTGCGCCTCTTGATTGGTCAGAATTTCCATGCAGGAAGAATAAGAACAAGGAGAAGAGCACACTTGCACACAATGTGACACTTTCTAATGTCACAATGGAGGGACAACTACGCAGGTTGATTTTAGCGCTGCTCATCGTGGACTATATTGCTGTCATTGTTCATTTTAGTCAAACCATACAGTTTGAAAACGAGGCGCGGCTCCAACTAGAAAACAATGTTTTGATGCATTGGATGTGCTGAATGTGCATATTAAGGCAGTACAGGAGGAGGTGCACATTAATAATCCTCCAGGACTGTATCATGCTCATGTTTAACTCAAACAATGTGTCATGTGACTGCAGTTGGTTCAGATTGAGGTCGGAACTGCACCAGAGTTCGTTTGTAAGCGGACTGAGACCACCTCTTCAAGAAGGTCTCAGTCCGGTTGTTTTGGTGCGCACCTGAGTGTGATTGCTGTGTTCACACCTGCCTTAATGAACTGCACTTAGGGGGCAAAATAAACGACTGAACTGAACCAGACAGGGCAGGTGTGAAATCCCCCTAAGACATGATGGAGGCTTAAAAGTTCAGTTCATCCAAATCACAAAAAGGTATACTCTGTCTTTTATCTCGTTTGGTCTCTAGTCATGCAGATGGTTTTGCTTTTCTATCAGACTTTAAAACTTTAAAAACTTGTCTGAATCTTGTTTGAATCAATTGCTGTTTTTAATGTACTTCTTTTAACAGGTAAAATGTTTTGGTTTTGAGCTGCTCATTTACTTTTACTGATAACTTCACAGCCAGCCACACTCAGTTGGAGTTAGTGAGCCTGTGGGCATTTGTATGCCTCGGCACCAGCTACAGCCATGGCTGGAGGCATTGTGTTTTTGGCTTGTCTGTCTGTCCCATTTGCACGAATGCAAAATCTCAAGAACACCTTGAGGGCATGTCTTCAAATTTGGCACAAACGTCCACTTGGACTCAAAGATGAACTAAGATGATTAGATTTTGGTGGTCAAAGGTCAATGTGACCTCACAAAACATATTTTGGGCCATAATTCAACTATGTAAACATTATGTATGACAACATTTTACCAAAATGTCTAATAGGATGATATGATGAAGTGATGACATTTTATATCCAAAAGGTCAAAGGTCAGCTTCACTGTGACATCATAGTGTTCTGCATAAAACACTTTCCTGGTCATTATTCAGTGCTGTAACTGAACAGAAGGGGAGACATATAATCAGATACTGACTATATAGATCTTCTGTGCTGCAAGGTAAAAGGTGTGTGAAGCATTCATGTTTAAGAATATGTTTAAGAATCATCATAGTAAATTCTTTGCAGCAAGATCCATAACTGAAGCATTGTCCGATGCCTTGGCTACATATGAGTCTCAACCAACATAAATGTAAACTAACTGCAACTTGACTGGTTTGCAGATGCGGTAATTCTAGTTTCTGAATGAGCTGAAGCGATATGATAGTAAGACTTTTGAGTTGAACTACCTCTGAAGATTTATTTCCTGTCAGATTTGATGCTTTTCCACAGACTCTTGCTCAGTAATTTGGGGAGCAGAAAAGAGATGGAAGTTGTTCACAATGAGGTCTGAGGGTTGTTCAGAGTGATTTGGACATTTACATCCATGCACTGGTGTGGATACACCTTTTGTAATTGAGTGATCTGGCCCTTTAATATTTTTGTGACATCCATTTATAAGTCTGCACGCTCAACTGTAGTGGTTAAATACAGTCTGTGTCAGAGAGGTGTGGAGTCAGCTTGATGGTCATTTCTTACAGCGGAATTGAGGCGTTTAATTGAATTTCCTTTACTTGTACAGTGTCCCTATTAATATGTCCACCCTCCTGTAGACCCACAGAGAGTTGGCAGATTGATGGCTGTTATTAAATTTAATGACTTTTTAAGGATCTCCTGGCAGTTTCTCCAAAGGTCCTGCCATCACACCTACTGACTTTCCAAATCACTGGGAACGTCGTGGGCTTGTTGACGCTCAGAGCGTCTGACAGCTTATTGTTACAGTTGGAGCTGATTTGCATCACATACTTCTGTAATCCCCAGAGGTGATCGCATCACTTTTCATTTTCATCTTTATCAGTCACACAAACAATGGTATGCAAATTAATGAATTATGTTATCTAGAAATGAATGGCAACCATTAGCTATAGCCAAGAGTTATAGCACTGCACACATAGAGACAGTGAACATAGGGCAGATATACTATAGCCCATATGTGTAATGGTAATGGGATTTTTTTTATTTAGTAACCAACACTGTAAATCAGAATGTAAAGTCAGATTAATGAAGTTGAACAAGAAGACTTAGACATGCTTAGTGGCTTCACATTTCAGTTGAATCTCATAGGAAGTAGTGTAAAATGTACTGGCTCTGCCCTGCAGCTCCTCAGGTACATGTAGGAAAATTATTCATACATGTCTTATGATTTATTTGATAGCTTTCTGGTGATATTTTAAGTATATTCAAAGCAAAACGTTGATATTTTTCAACCTTTTTCAACAGTTTTAGAAATTGGTCTAGTATTGAGAGAGGGGACTGCAGCCATCACCGTCACATTATTATTTCGAGTCTCACTAAAGGAGAAGTCTTGTTCTATAATTTTGCATGTTTCCACATTGTCGAACTTGCACACATGGGGCATAGCAGAGTCACCAACATGCCCACTGTGTTCCAAGTGAGGAACCCTGGAGCACATCCTTAGCTGCTGTACAAGGGCACTCGGAGATGGACGGTACCAATGGAGACATGACCAGGTCCTGAAGACCATTGCTGAAGCCATCAGCATAGGACTAGAGTGGGCAAAGCGGCACCGACCCTCCAAGAAATCCATCGCCTTCGTCAGGGCAGGGGAGCAGCCAGCTTCCACCAAAAGAACATCTGCAGGCATTCTGACCTCGGCAAGGGACTGGCAGTTGTTGGTCGATCTCGAGCGTCAGCTGAAGTTCCCCAGCCATATAGCAGTTACCACCCTGCGACCAGACATTGTCCTTGTGTCTGAGTCCACCAAGCAGGCTGTGCAACTGGAGTTGACAGTCCCATGGGAAGACCGCTTGGAAGAGGCCTTTGAAAGGAAGCTCTCCAAGTACGCGGGATTGGTCAGAGGGCTGGATGGAGAGCAAGGTGTGTCCTGGCGGAGGTTGGATGTGGGGGATTTGTGGCCCGATCCTTAGCCAGAGCCTACAGCAGTTTGGGCATCGAGGGAGAGAGGACAAGGAGAGCTATCTGCAATACCACCGATGCAGCAGAGAGAGCCTCAAGATGGCTATGGCTTAAGAGAGGAGACCCATGGAGTCATGGTAGCTAGCCATTTGGACACAAGCTGGGGTCTGATCAGCCCTGGATGGATCACCTGGAGGAGGTTATATGATGGTGAAAGACCCGAAACACCCGATGATTCCAAGAACATCACTGATGATGTGTCCAGATTAGGCATCTGCAGATGTATGGACACAGCGAAATAAGCTAAATATTCAGCCATGACATTATAAGTCTTTTAGATAAGAGTAAGATACGCTTTTTTGTCCCCCAACCAACAATTACTGGCACTTCTTTCCCCAACTCTCTCCAATGTTTCCACCCTTTTTTATTCCTGCACCTTTTGCGAGGCTTCTCATATGTGAGACTTGAACACAAAACAGAACAGAACAAGCAAAAGGTACAGAAAAATGTTTAATTTCTTTGTAGGGATCTTACCCATAATGTTTGAAGTTGCTCATAATAACTATCTGAGCCTTCGTGGCAAAAACAAACACTTTTAATTGATGTTGACTGAAGAAGCGAGATGCGACACAAGATATGAAATCCCTATAGCGTGTTCTGGGTCTGCCCTGGAAACTTCTACCAGTTGGACGTGTCTAGAATTAGAGGTGCCCAAGAGGCATCCTGATCAGGTGCCCGAACCACCTCAACGTACCCCTTTCGACACAAAGGAGCAGCAGCTCTACTCCGAGCTCTCTCCGGATGTCCGAGCTCCTTACCCTATCTCTAAGGCTGAGCCCAGCAACCCCATGGATGAAACTCATTTCGACCGCTTGTATCCGCAACCTCATTCTCTTGGTCACTACCCAGAGCTCATGACCATAGGTGAGGGTTGGGACGTAGATGGACCAGTAAATCAAAAGCTTTGCCTTTTGGCTCAGCTCTCTCTTCACCATGACAATCTGGCGCAGCGCCTGCATCACTGCAGATGACACACCAAGTGCTGTATTCTACCCTCACTCGTGAACAAGACCCCTGAGACACTTGAACTCCCTCGCTTGGGGCAGTAACCCACTCCGAACCTGGAGTGGGGGCTTTAGTTGTTAAAAGTTACTTCGATATAATTTCCTTTATGTCCTGCCTGATCACTTGGTGTCCCTGTCCTCCCCCTTATCCCTTGTTAGAGCAATCTTTTCAGCCGTATAATAGCCTGGGGTAATCAGTTTGTGTGTGTGTGTGTGTGTGTGTGTTCTGTGGGTTAGCGTAGTGCCTCCCTCTGGGGAAAGTGTTGAGGGATCAGATGACTTTTAAAACTTTCCTCTCAGACCTCCCTCTGTCTGTCTGACCTCCGGCTCCTGTTGATGTTGTTTCGTGCCCTTTAAGACCCAGGAGGGCTTCC